TTAAAGCTCAAAAATATCTAGAAAAACATGATTCTGACTGATCGGGGTCGCCTCTCCACAGATCTGACCTGTGACTTTGTTCACCATAAAGACAGAAAGGTTTAATACCATACTGTTAAACATTCAAGACAAAGCAATAACATCCCCATGAAGAAAAGCAAGAAACGGGAAAAGTTACACAATGCACCTTTAAGACAGGAAAAGGAAAAGGTGCAGAAACCAAAACTCCTCTCCCCGAGCGTCTCTCCGTGTGTCAGATCTGACCCGGACGACGGACGGGCAGATATCAGGGGCGTTTGGAGATGAGAGGCTCTGCGGCGCCGGGCTGTGGGCTGGAGCTCCGGGGCTAAAACGGGCCGACCGAACCCCAGAAAGAGCAGCTAAAGTGGGACATGAAGAGGCACCGGTCACCCCGTCTGAGCGTGGAGGAGGAGAGGAGACCGGGCCACAGGCGAAATACAGAGCGCAACACCCACACAGAACAGAGAGAGGAGAGGACGAGAGGAGAGGAAGGACAAAGATAGAAGAACAGAGAGAGGGAGAAGGCAAGGGGCACAGAGAGAGAAGAAGAGAGAGACAGAGAAAGGGACAAAGACAGAAACCAAGAGAGACAGAGACGGAGAGAGAAAGGGACAAAGACAGAATAGAAGAGAAAGAAGAGAGAGAGAAGAGAAGAATGACAAAGATAGAGGAACAGAGGGAGAGGAAGAAAGAGACATGGAGAAAGAGATAATGGGACAAAGATAGAAGGAGAGAGAGTAAGAGGAGAGAGTGAGTGAGAGAGGAGGGAGAGAAAGAGACAAAGATAGAAGGACAGAGAAAGAAGAGAGAGAAGGAGGGAGAGAGAAAGGGAACAGAAAGAGATGTAGACTGAGATAAAGGGATAAAGATAGAAGAGGGGAGAGGGAGGATATTTAGAGACAGGAAGAGAAAGAGACAAAACAGAAGGAGAGAGAAGAGAGAGATAAACAAAGCTAGAGAGAGATGGGGGACAACGATAAAGAAAAGAAAGAGGAGAGAGAGGGAAGAAAGGAGAGGAGAGAGGTGGAGAAGGAGAAATAAAAAAGCAAGGGAGAGAGAAGAGAGGCAAGGGGACAAAAAGAGAGAGAGAAAAGGAGAAAGAAGTCACAAGCGAAGGAGGAGAGACAGACTGAGAAAAAAAGAAGGAATAACAGAGAGAGAGATGATTGAGATCGGCCAGTACTACAGTAAAAAAAAACACAGCATATGGGCGCCATAACATGTCTGGTAAAGGAAAAATACCCAAATAAAAATGAAACGTGAAATATCTGATGTACATTTTTGCATTTGTGTAACGTTCTACCATCTGGGGTCGTCCATAGATCGAGAGCATTCGCAGAGCTCATGTTAGAAAGGATGAATTAACTGTTAGAATCACCATCTGGATTCATTTCTTATGCGATTGGTACAGTAACAGGAGGACGACAAATCTGCCACCGCCAGAGCTCAAACAGACAGTGAGAGGTGTAGCCATAAACCAGAGATTATCCAACACCAGCTAAGATCTTCACGAAGGGCTGCAAGATTAGTCATGATCAAATTGAAAACATAATTTGATTGCAAAGGCTACAGTAACATAACGTCCTCCACAAACAACTAAAATATCTGTCTTGTTCTCCACAAACCAGCTAACCCTGTAGTTTAGATCTACTGAAATGCAGTGTTGGGGAGTAACAGATTACATGTACCGGAGTTATGTAATCAGAGTACAAATTATGAGTAACTGTATTTGGTTACAGTTACTGTTTCAATGAGAGGTAATTGGATTACAGTTACTTTGTTGAAATAAAACAAAGTTTTTCTTTTTTTTTTCTTTTTTCAGTAATTCCACTCATTGCCAGGAAACTAAACCAGGTCTAAACTAGATCTAAACCAGATCTAAAACAGGTCTAAACCAGGACTAAACCAGGTCTAAAACAGGACTAAACCAGGTCTAAAACAGGACTAAACCAGGTCTAAAACAGGACTAAACCAGGTCTAAAACAGGACTAAACACTAAAACAGGTCTAAACTAGATCTAAACCAGATCTAAAACAGGTCTAAACAGGTCTAAACCAGGACTAAACCAGGTCTAAAACAGGACTAAACCAGGTCTAAAACAGGACTAAACCAGGTCTAAAACAGGACTAAACAAGGACTAAAACCAGGTCTAAACTAGATCTAAACCAGGTCTAAACCAGGTCTAAACCAGGTCTAAAACAGGACTAAACCAGGTCTAAAACAGGACTAAACCAGGTCTAAAACAGGACTAAACAAGGACTAAAACCAGGTCTAAACTAGATCTAAACCAGGTCTAAAACCAGGTCTAAACCAGGTCTAAAACAGGACTAAACAAGGACTAAACCAGGTCTAAAACAGGACTAAACCAGGTCTAAAACAGGACTAAACAAGGACTAAAACCAGGTCTAAACTAGATCTAAACCAGGTCTAAATCCAGGACTAAACCAGGACTAAAACCAGGTCTAAACTAGATCTAAAC